AGCTTTAGTGTAATGGGACCCAACTCAGGTAAAGTTGGTCAGAGAGGGGAACTAAAAAGTTCTACATTATGGACATTGTCTGTAAGGGCTCCTGGGATAACGTGGGGGAATGGTCCTCGGTATGTATGTTTGGGGTGTCTAAGGACAGATAGGCAGCTATGTAAGATGTGTGGGCATTTGGGATGAGAAATCGATTACATTACACGGGGATTGAAGGACTGTGGTTATAAATTTTACTTATTTTGAAACTTTTCCTTGTGCTGTTCTCAATAGTGAAGTGAATTTGAAGTTTGAATGTCATCCTTATGGGGAAGGGATTATCATTTATTGAGCACATACTTGATGCCAGCTGCTACTCTATGCATTCATTCCTTATAATGGACTTGTAAGGGTGATGCTTTAGTTATCTCTCTTTTATCTTGCTTTAATATTTGCAGATGATGGACATGTAGTCCAGAAAGACTTAGTAACTTAAACAAGGTTACACAGCTGATAAATGATAGAGCCAAAATGCAGATCAACAACTATGTGATCCTAGCGCTCCTATTCTTGCGTGAGGCTGTCCAAAGGAATCTGTTCATGTCCTGAACATTTGGCGGTTTGTTGTCCAAAATTACAGAGGCGGAGTTGGAATAGTAAATAGATGATGCTTATCATGTTGATGATGGCAATTATAATAGGCAACAGGTATTGAGTGCTTATTATGTTCCAGGCATGAGCTATCTACTTTATATATATTATCTCATTTAATTTTCTCAACAGTTCCACAAGGAAGGGACTGTTATCAGTTTTGTTTGTTTTTTAGATAAAGACTTAGTGACAAGAGCTGTGAAGTAACATGCTCAAGGTCACACAGCTAGAAAGCAGTGGAGGTCACAGCCATGTGCAAGGACTCCAGAAAGAAAGCTGACAGCTGAAGGGTCTGCCCAGCAAGGCAGTGAAGGGTACACAAGGATAGTAAAGATGAGTTTGGAGGTCTGCACAAATTTGTATGTCTCATTCCTAGAGCTGTGGTTGTGAAAGCATCCAGCTCATTCCTCTGCTGCAGGTTCCCACTTTTCCTCCACTTTAAGCTATCTCTTTACTCTAAAAGGGGTGATGAAATTCTCAGATATAGGAAACAAAGAGCAGTCATGGAAATTTCCTCTGGTTTTGCCCAATAAAAGTGGCAAAGCGTTGGGTTGCTTGCAGGTATTATAATCTGGGTCACCAAGCACTTCTCCACCAACCTGTCATGGGGCTGGAAATTCCCCATGAGAAATCCAGTCTTTGAGTCTTGAAGGTGTCTGGGCTTTCCTGTTAAAAGACAAACATCTTTATAGATATGATCACGCTCTCAAATACCTTCAGGGGCAAGGTAGGTAATTCACTTTCAAAAGGGATGGGGTAAGGTGAATTGGTTGCTATGGCAACCTGGGGACTGCTTGTCCTGCCCACAATCATTTACAACATGGCATGGCCTATAGACTATGGACTTCCTGTCAAAGGGTAACCTGTCTTTTTTCTTCTTGATTGTCAAAGTTCATGGCAGAGGATGTGGAGATTAAAAACTACAGAAAAGTCTAAGTCTAGTCTAAAAAAATCCAAAGCAAATAGAATCATCAATATTTTCCTCCCTCATAAGTACTATTGATATCTTGGCATATTCCCTTCATTTTTTTATTCTTTCTTAATGAATGTAAAAATCTGCTGCATCAGTGGGCTCTACACTAAAGAAAACATTCGAACCTCTGTGAAGAAATACCTGGGGTAAAAATAAGGAGAGCGCAACATCACATTTTAGATTGAGAATTAGCTACAAATATGACTTCAGGAGGATAAAATCTGGAAAGGCAGGTAGAAAGAGTAGAACTTAAGAGGATAAATTGGAGAGGACAAGGATGCAGATTTGCCACAGGAAAACTGGCCAGATAAGAACTTCAGCAGGAGGCTGCCAGGGAGGGGCTGATGGAGACAAGGGGGCATGGAGAGCGCCTTTGGATGGAGAAGGGGGTGGAGGTGAGCTGTTAAATTAAAGGTCCTCAGAAGTCCTCTCTGTCCACTGCACCCCATCCTCTAACCAGTTCAACATAAACCAATCTGTTTCGGAAATTTTTTTTAAAAATTAAGGAACAGGAACTCTTTTTCCAAGGAAATCTTAGGAAGAAGCCATTGACATAAACAGACTAAAGTAGTACGGCTGGTCTGGGGATCTTCTCTGGCCTCCAAACCCTGAGCTCACCCAAAGGAATGTATGAAACCCCACATCTTCTCCTTCCTATGTGGCCTCCCTGAGAGAAGCACTGTCCTCCCCTCAGATCTTCTCAAACTCCTGGAAGTTGCAGATCCCGGTGACCCTCATTTCATTCTTCGGCTCCCCTCTACATTTGTTCAGCTCGATGGATCGCTTGTCGGGTTTCAGGCGCATATTGACTTCTGCAAAACTCCCAGGCCATTCACGGAGAAAGATTGACTGATTTAGGGTAGGGGTTGGGGGAGGAGGTGTAGCTATTTTCGATGTTAGTAAACATGACAGCTTGTTGAAGATTAACAGAAAATGGTGAATAAAATCATTGGGATCTGATAAGGGATTTTTCTCTCAGACAATTAAAGGCTTTTTTCTCGTTATCTCCCTCCCCCTCCCCCAGAAGTGGGAGATGAAAGTCATGAGGATAACACATTATTAGTCTCATACCCTTAACATAGATAAAAGACAAAAGTTAACCTCCCACTGCCCATGCAACCTCCATGCACTGTTTTTGCCATTCTGTCTTCTTTTCAGCAGGCAATAGTTTCCTTTAATACCTCCTACCTAATCCTCAACTTTCTTTTAAACATCAGATATTGGATAGGCTGGAACCTCATGTAGGTAGTAAAGAAGTCCAGTGCTTTGTGGCCGGGACCAGCCGAGGAGAGAAATATTTTTGATACGAAAGAATAATTCATTAAAGGAGGTAATGAAGGTGATTTCAACCTTCCACAAACACATCATGGAGTGAATAAAGCTCATGGCTCTCAATTTAGGGTCATCGCTGAATGAGATGTTGTAAAAAGTGAAAAAAAAAAATAAAACCAACTGCATAAATGGGTCAAAAATTTCAGTGGGACTCAGTCAAGCCTGACAATTTAGAATTTGACAAACAAGTGGAAGAAAAGGAGAATTCCATTAATATTATGATAAAACCCTTCTGGAATAAAGCACTGAATTTCCATGTTATCGTTTCACTCACGTGTACTTATATGGTCTTAGGAAAAGATCTGACTTGGAGCTGAAATTTTGCTTATCCAGTTACAGCTCAGGGGATCTCTCTCTCACATGCTCGGCCAGAAACATAGATTGTCTCATAAACCGGCATGAACAGTATGGATAATGGAGAAATGCAGTCGTGAGAGGGCAGAGCTGCAAGATGTGGGCGTTTGTTCCTGAGAGTCAGCCTGTTAGAGTTCTTCGGGGTACCTAGTCCACAGGGGTACAGAGGACCAGGATCCAGAGAGTATCTATCTCCCCATCTACTGGGTAGACCTGAACTGGTCTGTCCGCCAACCCTGTAGGCAGAGGAGTTTAACATGAAAAGTGGTATATGTGGACTCTTGAGAGAGGTATCTTGGACCATTCTTCCCCCTTTCTTTCTTCATAATGGAAAAATGAAGAAATCATTCACCCATCAGAGGGGTCTCATGGGAGGTCTCACGCAGGGTCATTCAACTAACAAGGGGTAGTCATGGTGTGAAAGAGGGGAAGGGAACTGTAAGAGCATGCTACTACAGCTCCCTGTCAGATGTAAGGAAGCCCTGTCCTCACATCCCTGCTGGATGGACTTCCAACCTCTTTCTGGATATTTTTGGTGCCACGTTGCTCATTACCACGTAGAGACCAGCCCCTTCTTGGGTAGCCTTGAGCCTGAGGAGTTCCCTTCCTGGACGGAGCCAACCCCTTGATGATCTGGCTTCCGTTCTCTTTAGGTAAAACACCCAACGCATCTGTTACACATGGCAGCCTTCCTGACATTATGTCTGTCACTCAGGGTCCTCTCCTTTCCAACCTAAGCCTTATAGTTTGCTCAACCCAAATGACAATATCCCAAGTCTACTGAAGCTTAGGAAAGAGGAATGGAAATCCCGTGGATTCCCCCCACTTCCTTTCTTCTCTCTCCTCACACACTATTATCCTTTTTCTGAACTATTTGAGAATGTTATAGACATTCACAATGGCGAATTTCGTAAAAACAAGAATATTCACTTACATAAACGTATAATAGTTTATCAAAATCTGACAATAAACATTTATACAATATTATGGGTTAATCTAAACACTTTATTCATATTTTACCAATTGCGTCACTAACGCCTTATGTAGCAAAAGAAAAAAAAATTGTTTTCTGGTCCAGGATCTAAATTATAATTATATATCATACTGACGTGCCATGTCTTTTTAGTCTCTGTTAGCTCAATTCCTGTTTTTTTTTTTTTTTTTTTTTTTTTTTTTTTTTTTTTTTT